AATCCCCAAAATATGGAAAAGAATCAGAAACTAACAAAATATGAAAAATTACCAAAATTAGGAAATTCGCCAAAAAAATTGTCTACGCGACCGCATAGTGTATTTTCATGCGGTCGCATGGTTCAGTCCGGTTGGCTCCTTTGAGTTTCGGTAAGCACCTATGCGATTGCATGGTGTTTTAGCCTATGCGGTCGCATAGGCTTGTTTTCAGCCTCCAATTTCGTCACTTGATAATAAATTGATCTAAGTTGATTCGGTCTTTGACCCGAACATAAAAGTTGCTCTATTTTGAGTCCCGAACATGGTTCCATCAATGGTTTCTTGAATGAGTAATCCCATCGCTTGTTTCACTTGATTTGCCGTTGATCGCGTCATTGGTCCGCCTTCGACTATCAACGGGTCTCGTCTTACACTTGCTTTCGTCGGGCTCGACTACTGGATCATATCAACAACCAATGGACATATTTACCATACTCTATACTGATGTAATTCCAATATTATTCCATCGTGACACCATTCCATCACACAAGTGTCTTACCAACTTCAACTTTGATACATCCATCATCATCAAATGTTATGTATACTTTGCAAAGTGAGCACATAATTTCACATTTAATATAATCACGAAAGTTTGTTTCATCTATGGACCTATTAATGGATTCTTGTATTTCAGGTCAAGCGATGCCATACTACATTCCACATTTACAGGACTAATGAGGCTCAAGCAAGTGATCTTGGTTTATGCTATGAATTGGTCATCGTCAATCCATTCTTAAGCATAAACATACATGAATATCTATATAGTAAATTCAATGTGATATTTGTTTGTGTTTTCCTCATTATTGTGGTGCTTTGATGAAGTGTCTCTAAACTAATACCAGATATAGCTCCATCAATATCTGAAATGTGAACAGCAGCAGTGGCTCCTTGGAGATCTAGAATGCAGATGAGTTTTGTCGTTAAATTAGTATCTATTTTGTTTTAAGTTTTTGGTTTTTGGTAATTGACCAAGTCGGATGAGTTTTTGTAACATTTGTAACACTTGAACTATGAAGTTTATGTTGGTTAATGTGAACAACGTACAAGGTCAGGATAGGTTGTGAATGACTGGATTTAATTGTGACAAATAGTTACTTTACAGTACGTGTAGTTGGCAAAGTGTAAAAAAATGTATGATGCTTCTACATTCCTATCCTTTGAGAGCCTTGGAAAAGTGTAAGGTGAATACTTAAGCATTTAATATAATTGGGACACACACATTACCAATAAGATGTGTCCCCTTATGTGTAATCGATAGCCAGGCAAATTGGGGCATCATAACCTATTATTAAACTCACATTGTTTCTATACATCTTTTTTTGTGGAAGAGAAACAGATACTTTGAGATAATCAATATATGAAAATGTGAGTATGCATGTACATAAATCTTAGCAACAGAAATAAATAAGAGTGGTTGACTAAAATAAGAGTTAAACATCCATCACGTCATAGATTAACATTGTTCACATATCTTCGCTAATAATATTCCAACCACATACAAAAGACTAACTAGTACTTCGATTAATATGTACTAATCAGGTCGGCCACTTCCATTCTGAATTCACTTCCGTGATCTCTTTGTCTTACAGACCTTCACGTTTACCGTAATATGTAGATCTCCTTCAGCCGATGCAAACTTAAGATTCGAGATTCTATGATATTTGTTCAAATATTTCGTTCATCACAAGGTTATCTGAAGAAGTTCTATCTTTAGAGGATTGGCCGCTTAATTTTTCTATGACAATCCAATCCCAAAATCTACAGTTTTTACTGCAACAAATAAATAATCGCCCTTTATTTTCAGCCTCCTTCTCCACCACGAAACACTTCTCAAACCTATATTCGCAATTTGAGCAAAGGCGTTGCGATTGGCTGTTGGCAAAGAAATGCCCATTCGATCTACAGCTATGACAGATTCCATCATTTCCACCGCCCATTCTACAATGTGAAACGACAAAGCAAGGTCAACACAAATAGATGCAAATCACTACACAAATTTAGATACCAAATCGATAGTCAATAACACACAAACGAAAGTACTAATTGATAATATAACAAAAATTCATCTATTCACTCAAGTTAACTGGACAAGTAGCGTCATGGTAGAACTAGAAGATGTTTGAAACAAAACTTGTAATTCAAATTGATGTTGTAAGAAACAATCTGAAACGAGAAAGTATGATGAAAATTTGAAATCTGTTTGAAACCAGATCTTCACACATACAAACCATTACAAGTAAAATCATTTTGCAAAGTTACAGAGATGGGCTAGACCAAAAATTTTAACAGCAGCTAGCAATCTCTATTTTTTTGGGTCTATATATTGCACTTCAACAGTCGTATGTAGCATACGAATTGTCAAATGGACATAATAAATGAAATGGGTTCCGAGTTCCCTTGTCTTACCTACAAATCAAATGAAGTCCAACTTCACGAGATATTTTGAATTGTGTACAGATTTTGCTAGTGGTCGGAGATCGTCAAGCGTGTGACGGCGAACCCTTTCACGGAGGTGCCGTCAGAGTGGTGGCTAAACCTTCGATCGAACATTGGTCGGAGATGGTAAAGCGTGAGGCGGCGAAACCTACGATGGAAATGCTATCGGTGTGGTGGCATATCCTCTACCTAATGTGCAGTCGAATAGTATGAGAGGATTTTTGTTTCTCTGCGTTTTGGAATGGGTGAAGTAGTTTGGTTCGATTTTGGGAGATATTGAATGTTTCATTATGGTCTTTACGTGCAAATAGTTGCCCTCTTTTTAAGTGTTTTTTTTTTTCAATTTTTAAATGTTGTCGCGTTAGCCTTGGAAAACCACTTATTAGGAAGCCCTATTCATGTAGCTTAATTGATGTACAAATGGCAAAGTCCTTTGTAGAAAGTGGACAAAAGATACGACAGTTTTTGTTATAACAACACAAATATCTTAGCAAGATTTGGGTTATTGACTATATTTGCTGCAAGTTTGACCTAGAAGTCATGCTAGAGTATTGGCACGGCGACCTAACTTGACCTGGAACTCAATCATGCTAAAAGTTTGACATACCTCAATTTTTATAAAAGTTTGAGATTCCATCTTAAAAAGTTAATCTTATTAAGAGGAGTTGCTTAATCAAGGTATGTTGATCTATATTGGGGTATTTAACCAACGTAGGATTATGCCCCCCCCCCCACAACATGGTCGCTTATTTAAGCAAATAAATCTTGAAATTTATGTACTCATTTTTTTTAGTCTTAATCAGATCGTATTGTTCATTGAAGTTTAATGGGCTCCGATGTCATACTAAGACTTGGGGTTCTATTTTAAAAAATCAATCTTATCAAGAAGAGTAATCTAATCCCTTATATGTTGATCTATATTTTGGTATTTAACCAGTGTTAGATTTATCTTTTAACAAGTTTAAAGACATGTCACGACTGTTAAAATTTGAATGATATAGCACATTTTAACATCCCTATTTGACCTTCTATGGTGTGACAAAAATGTAATAAATCTATGTTGAACTCTTACTGTATTACCTTCCATGTCCTTTTAGCACATTTTAAAACCCAAATTTTCCTAATATGAGAGTCGAACATGAAAAAAAAGCAATAAGAATAAGCATTCGTAAAGAAGAAGAAAAAGTTAATAATAATAAAATTGAAAAGAGCAATAAGAGAGCATAACTTTTATAATATCTCATTACTTTCTACTGAGGTCAAAATTGAAGCACTCCAATGTATATCTTAAATGAACTGAATAGTCTTTCAACAATCATTTGATCTTCAAAAATTGGCATTCAAAACTCGAAGTAGGGAGGCTGGTGGATATGACAATGGTGGTTATATAGGGTTCAGGTCAAGTCATTATGGTGGAAGCGGTCAGGGTGGTTGACAATTACGGGTGTCAATGGCAGCAATAATGACAACATAATCAATATTTTGTTATCGTGTTATTAAAATGTAAATAACATATTTATCATAAAAGGTATCTTGAAAATAACTTACTTCGAGGCAATTATATACCACTATATTTTTAATTATACTCACGGCCATCGAGACTTGCTCATTTCTGTCAATTAGCACACTTCATCTCTACTAACAATGTGCATCCAAAAAACGTTGAGATAGCGTAATAAGATTTATTTGCCCATTATATCAATAATAATAATGATGATGATGATAAATACAATGCCACAAATTATTACTCACTTATCTTGAAGAATGAAAATGAAATATTTTGACAGAAACCGTGATAAACGGTGATATATGATAATTAAAGACAATTTAAAGATAAAAAATTTAATGGAAAAAATTAAGAACATAAATGCTACACTAAGTTTAGTTTGAGGACTTTAAGTGCAATTAAAATATTGTGGAACAAGTAAAACTTGATGCGCCAATATAACCATATTTCTTAGTGCATTTTTGTAAAGTTTCCAAATATTATGGACTCAGAAGTTTAAGTTGTTCTATGTCATGAACAAAGTTTCACCAAATTATTGGTCTAGATTCGAAGTTCAAACCATTTGGTATGTGAAATTCAGAAAATAATTTCCGTTGTAGTCAACAAGTGCACTTTCCAATTTAACAAAAGATTCAATCGAGCGACTCATCAATTTTGAAAGAGTGAGAACCAACTTGCTCCTTTTTGTAATTGAGAATCCAACTTATAACTCTGTCGATAGATTGGGAACCAAAATTGCAATTTGTCCAATATAAATTCCCTTTATTATCTGAAATATTATAAACAAAAAAAGAGAAAAAATTAGCAGAAGAAAATCCTTTGACTGTGAATTCCCTTCCTTTTCATTCGATCAAAATAAATTTCTGTGATCTCGTCCAAATTCAGTGCATATGTGTGTATTAGTGTATATATATACAAACACAATTTATACACGTGTATTGTCGATAGATTGGGAACCAAAATTGCAATTTGTCCAATATAAATTCCCTTTATTATCTGAAATATTATAAACAAAAAAAGAGAGAAAATTAGCAGAAGAAAATCCTTTGACTGTGAATTCCCTTCCTTTTCATTCGATCAAAATAAATTTCTGTGATCTCGTCCAAATTCAGTGCATATGTGTGTATTAGTGTATATATATACAAACACAATTTATACACGTGTAGACGCTCATATATTCGTACATACACTCATCACATGAAGCAACATTTGACTGATTATTAGCTGTATGTTGAGGATCTGAAGGAATCAAAATTCACACCAAAAGTCGCCATCATTTCGGTTAGAGACTTCCCTGTGATGTTTTTTTCATCATTCTCACGATCATCGTTGTGTGTATATAAATTAAATTGTGAATGTTTGTAGAATTTAGTTGAATTATTACTGCTGTGTGGATAGATCTGTAATTTGCTGATTAATAGAAGGGAATTAATTATGATCTAAGAAAAGCGGTTTTGGGATTTTGGATCTTGTAATGGAACAGTGTTATTGTGCTTGAATTGTCGGAAAATGGATTGTTTTATTGCCGTTGATATGAACATCTTAGGATCTGTTTAGCCGTCAGTGTAAATTATGGCCTATTTTACTGAATCAGAGTGGTGGATGTTGTTTAACTGTTTCTTTTTTACTGTATCACTTATTTGGAAATTGAAATGCTGGCTAAATTTGTTGGATAAGTTTTGTTTGTATATCGGCAATTCAGGTATATAGAGATTTAAATTTTTTTGGTCAATACTTATTATGGGAAATGTGGATTAACTGATGCTGTACATTTCACATGTCCTATTTAGTTTCTCGTTGACAAATTAAAAGATGAGTGATCATTGTGCAGGAGATTTAGAGGAAAAATCTTGGATTGGATGCATAGGTGTGAGGATATCTTTTCAGTGCTCTGGGGTAAAATTTCGCCCTTGGGCAGTCGTAACAGAAATAACTAAGGAAATGGCACCTTCCAACAGAGCTGATAAGAAGGCTGCAGTGGATGCAGCTGCATGGATGTTCAATGTAGTCTCTTCAGTTGGAATCATTATTGTCAATAAGGCATTGATGGCTAATTACGGTTTCAGTTTTGGTAAATTTCTCAACTTGACTAGAAACAAAATCTATATGGAGTTTTTATGATTTGTAAGATGCTTAGCCCATTATGAACACAGTTGCATTAGCAATTGGTTTTATTACGGATATTAATATGCATTGAATGAATTCTTTGTCAATTGCTTTGTGTGGTTTAGTCAAATTTTTCGAGATAATGTGAAATAATATTATTAAGTAAGTGATGGAACCAGATTCAATACTTCCAAATGTTTTTGGTTTCATTTTTAATAGAAGTTAAATAATGATTGTTTTGAGGCAAATTGAATGGGAATGTCTGAAAATATCAAAAATAAGTTGTGGTTTTCAGAGGCTGATCTAAGGGATTCTTGGATGTCATGTGTCGGTAGGTTTACAGAAGAATCTCAGTAAACTAATGATAACCTTTTTGGAAGTACATTTGAAGTGGATACTTTTATGTGACTTGAGGGCTCCAAATCTTTGACTGTCCTCCAAAATTCCCAAAAGAGTATGCATATGGACAATAACAATGCTACACAAAAAGGCTAAAGAACAGGTTCGAAAACTGGGTGCACACGTGTCAACACATGATTGGATTGTTTGAAAAATAAAAACAACAAACATCCAATCATCTTCTACCAAGTTGGTCTGTTTTTTTCCTATCTTTGAGCCTGGACAAACATCATTTCTGTAAGGACAAATCCACCCAAATAGATTTGTCAGCGCATAAGATTTCATAATGTTTGTGCTGTAACATAGGGAATCTATGCCAATGACAAATTTAAAACAACTTGAGAGGCATTTGCCTTTGTGTAGAAGTAATAACCTGTGCCAGTTGGAGAATAATTGTATGTGTTAAATGGTTTTTGGTCCAGCCAACCACCACCAAAATTAAGTGATTAGTCACATGGTGGTATTAGTTAAAACCAAAGAGTTGAACCGTATTTGTTTAGCAATTGGCAATGAGTTTATTGTCATAAAATCGTATAGATCTGCCGGAAGGGAGAAAAAATTACAACACTCCTGTCAGTGTAATAATAATGGATTTCTTCTTGTCAGACTTAATAATAATTGCTTTTGCTGTCTTATTTCTTAGTTCTTCTGTTTTGACACTTACATTATTATTTTGAGACTTTGTTAAGTCTTCTGTTATAAAAATCTTTGCAGCTACAACGTTGACTGGGTTGCATTTTGCTACAACAACATTGACGACAGTTGTTCTTAGGAGGCTAGGATACATCCAACCTTCTCATCTACCTACTCCAGAGCTTTTGAAATTTGTCTTATTTGCAAATTTCTCTATTGTTGGAATGAATGTCAGTCTAATGTGGAACTCAGTGGGATTCTATCAGGTAATTCTGATCCATTCTTATTTGGCCATCTTCCATCTGGGGAAAAAATGGGAAAAAGAGAGGGAATGATAGTCTCTCTTTCGTAAATTTAATAACATTATGCCAAGGTGATATTTTATTTTACAATATAACATATTACTTTCAGATTGCAAAGTTGACCATCATCCCTGTATCCTGCTTATTGGAAGTTGTATTTGACAAGATTCGATACTCGAGAGACACAAAACTTAGTATCTCTATTGTTCTCCTTGGTGTTGCTGTCTGCACAGTTACCGATGTGAGTGTCAACTCCAAAGGGTTCATTGCTGCATTTATTGCAGTCTGGAGTACATCTATGCAGCAGTATGTAAGTTTTCTACCTAATATGAAGTATAATTGGATTTTTATTACCATTATGCAAGAAGTTGACTGAGTCTACATCTAAACACGACTATGAAAATATTTAAACTGCAAATACTTGTGTCGAAGACATCATATTTCCTCAAAGAAATAATGTTTTGTTTTGCCACAATAGCAGTCCTCTATATAGTGAATTTCTGGATTGCACTTTTTAATATTTTTTGTGGATATGTTTTCTGCAATCACTGAAGACAATTTTCATAATCCTATTTATGCATCTGCACTCTGCAGTATGTTCAATTCCTTCAAAGGAAGTACTCGCTTAGTTCTTTCAATCTTTTGGGGCACACAGCACCAGTCCAGGCTGCATCTCTCTTGCTGTTAGGACCCTTTCTGGATTATTGGTTGACAAACAAAAGAGTTGATGCCTTTGGCTTTAATATACCATCTGTTGTAAGTGCTTCTACAAGTTATGTCCATAAACATGTCATTGTTATAGTTCAGGTTTTGATCTTGTGGAGAAATAATGTATTGTTATCACTAATGCATCTTGTCGTTTCTTAGTTTCCTCTATTATTTTTAAGTGCTGCCCTATGCCTATTACTGGAAAATTAATCTGGGTCCACACCCATGGATAATGCCCCGAGGATAAATCTTAAGCCTCCTGAATGGAAATTAATGTCAAATAATTTGTGTTTCTAATCTTCATCAAGGATGGTTGAAGGGGCGGAGCTAGGGTTGGACTAAAAAATTTTTAGGCTGGGCTACTATGTAAAAGGATAAAATTCCATATAATTTTTTTTTCCCACATGAAAAGGTTATTGGGCTGGGCTATATTTTTGCTATTATTTACTAAGGATGGTTTAACTAGAAGGTTATTTGTACTTTTGCCACAATTTTGTAACTAATCAACCTGGTCCCCTCCACCTCATGGGTTTTGGGCAGAATGGCACAATCTGAAGGTGAGCAAATCATCTTGTGAAGTGACAGTGGGTGAGGTTCATGGAAGATATCAACGTGTAGTGGTATCAAGAACAGGTTTGAATTTACATTTCTGTGGATGAGATGTCTGAGGTTGGAGAAGAGAGTATAGGTGCAGGTAATTATTGGAAGGGAAGTTGCAAGGATTTTTGAGAACTGGTGTTTTTTCCTGTGGATATTGTCACGAAATAATTGGTGCTCAGCGTTGACTTGTGTGTGGATGGGAGTCGGATGAAGTGCATTTGAATTAAAGTGCCAGCAAATGAGAAATTCGGCTGCATGTGATTTGAATTAGATCAATTTATTTGGAGAGTAGTTCGTTGTTTCTAGGAATTTAAATAAAGAGAAGGGTTGGGAAATGAAAATACACTGCGTGGAGATGGAAGCATGGAGTGGCTAATCTTGTTTCATCTGATGTTGTCANAAAGAGAAGGGTTGGGAAATGAAAATACACTGCGTGGAGATGGAAGCATGGAGTGGCTAATCTTGTTTCATCTGATGTTGTCAGGACAAGCTATTATTAGGTTGGGCATGTTACTGACGTATTTTAACATTTTTCCTATTGCAGCAAATTCCGCTGCTTTCATTTTGTCAGTATCTGGTGTGTTTTTGGTCTAATGTCTGTATCATGAGAAAGGTCCGGAAGACTAGAAAACTCCTCCAGTGTGGGAACAGTTCAAAGCTACCAAAACGGAAGCATATTGCTCCCTTGTGGTCTCTAAATCCTAAAGATGGTTTCATTTTAATATTCTTATTCATATTCACTTAATAGTGTAAAGTCCAGATTACCATGTGAACTTTCACCACAATTCCCAAGTTTTCATTTCCTTTTCTTAATGTTCCTTCTGCACTATATAGTTTAGATACAAATGCACTGTTTCGATACTAGTTTTTCTCATTATTTGTTTTGCTGCAGGCGTTCATCATCCTTTCATGCACTATAGCAATTGGTACCAATCTCAGCCAGTTCATCTGCATTGGCAGATTCACAGCTGTTTCATTTCAAGTTCTTGGTCATATGAAAACCATCCTCGTATTGATTCTTGGGTTCTTATTTTTTGGAAAAGACGGTCTTAATTTACAAGTAGTTTTTGGCATGGTCATTGCCGTTGTTGGAATGATCTGGTACGGAAATGCCTCATCAAAACCCGGGGGAAAGGAAAGGCGCAGCCATTCAATATCCAAAAGCAGCCAGCAAAAGCACGGAGGATTATCCGAACCTTCTGATGTTGATGAGAAAGTCTAATTATTTCTGCATTTTAAGGTTAGCATACAAATGACAGCAGATACTGGAATTTTTCTCACGTTCCAACTCTGGAAATACTTCCCAAATCAAATTATTATTGGAATCATCTAAATTTTGTGAGTCTTGCAACTTTTTTCAACTTAATTTGAATTAGCTTACAGGGATATGTACTTTGGAACATTTACGGCTTGGTTTCAAATTTAGAAAGGCTATTTATTGTGATTAGGAATCACCCTGATTCTTGATGTTTTAGTCCCCTTGATCTTATAATTATCACCAATTTGTTGTTGGTTTCCTCTTGTTCGTTATATCATAATTGTTATTTGAGGACTCATTTCTGCAACTTCTCATAAGCATCTACATACGAAATTTTCGTTGGAAATGAAAATAAGGGACAAAACGTATCCGTTTGGCCCCCATTATTTGATATTATAATTTTGGGAATAGGGATTTTTTTTTTTTTTTTTGTGGGAAAATTTGTGATTAAAAAAAAGAGAGAAAATAAATTATAATTTTAATGAAGCCAAACAAGAAAATTATACGAAGAACATCGACCAAAGTCCCATTAAATGTAAGAATCTTGAAAAGTTCTCGAAACTGTTGCCATTATTCCTTACAGATTACATGTTAACCATGGCTGCCCCTTTCCTTTATGGGAAATACACACTTTGCATGATAGCCCTCGCACAAAACCTGGGGCACGCAATTATTTTAATTGCAAATCCCACTCATACATGTGAAAGAACTGTCAAAAGTGTTGTATTTCTAGCACTGGTGTTCCTTTGTTCTCTTGTATTTTTCATTCCAATTAGCCTGATGAGTATGATTATTATGCCTATGTTTGGTTAAATTTTTTTTCAAAACTTATTTTCAATAACATTCTTCTATAAATTAATATTATATATAAATAAAAAAAATTTCTTATTTTTTAATCACACGTTCTCTAAGAGATCATTTTTTCAAAACTCATTTCCCTCAAATTTTCATTAAAATGGATCCCAAACAAGGGCTATGACGTTTATGACAATTTTTAAGCTGGTATGTCTTACTCAGGGGTGTGTAGTGGCTGGGATGAGACGGCCAAAGCGCATATTAATTCTTTTTTATCTTAATTTTATTTTTATCATTTTTTTCATTATTTTCTCTCGGAGCCAAGGGATCTTCCAAATTTTTCAAAGGCCAGAAAGGGCCCTAAAATCTGACTACAGAAGCCTAGATCTGCCTGCCTAGAATGGTATGTTGGGCCAGTTCAAACTTCAAACCAGACCATGTCATTTACGAGGTAAGGTCCAACTTTACACACCTGTCCTTAGCGAACGGGTTACACTGTTTTTCACTTTTTCTTTGGCATTTGAATTTGTGGAAATTACAAGTCCTATCATTTTGATTGTAAGAATAAAATTTAAGTGGAAAAAAAATAAATTTCAAGGAATTGAATTGTTTAGAACTTGTTTTAATAAAAATTGTCAATTAAATGTGTTTAATTGGTATAACTTTTCACCTGAAAAATATTTGATTTGTATAATTTTTCACTTGAAAAAATATTGAACTTTTGGATCTTTTGGTGTTCATTTAACTTTATTTTTCATGAAAATTGTCAATTAAAGTGAAAGATTTTTTTACGATTGCAAATAAAATTTGTTTCCATTACTGAAAATAAAATAAAATAAAATAAGAAGCTGGATAACCATTTTCCCACCAAAACCAAAAGAAAACAAATTCCTTAAAATCATGGAAAATGGGGTCACGTGAGGAGGTTGAAGGAAATCAAATTCCATGGAAAAGTTTGCCATCAAACATGTGATTTTAGTGGAAAATAATTCCATTTTCCATGGAAAACTCAACCTATCAAACAGGCTTTAAGTGATTTCGAGCAGTGGCGAATCCAGGATATTAACTCAGCTAGGACAGTCGTTAATAGTTGCAATAGTATGATTTTTATTAAAATAATATTAAAAAAATTCAATCAATAGAATACACTAAAACATAAAAGCCATATACATTTGAAAATATAATCCAATACAACTTAAAATAACATGAAAAAATATTTTCAATCATTAATGTACAGTCAAATTTCAAGTTTTTTATGATCTTAAACGAAACAATTTATATGAAAAGCATGAATAAATGGTAAAGACAAACTCTGAATTCTGGCAAAGATTATGCAAAATTTTAAAAATAATGATTTTTAGAACTAGAACTATTTTTTACCCTAAAATAAAAAGTATTTTTTGACTCTTAAAAAAATAAAGAATAAATATATATATATATATATATATATATATATATATATGAATGATCTCATAAGCGTTGATACTTAGTTTATGTTAAGCATCAATGACATGACATACCATTTAATTGGTAAGTAAGTTAAATGGTAGGTCCCATGTATTTAATGATTAACCAATTAAATGATGTATCATGTCATCGGTACTTAATATAAACTAACATCAGTGTTTAGACGATCATTTTCGTGTATATATGAATGTGTGTGTGTGGGGGGAGAGAGAGACCGAGAGAGAGAGAGAGTAATAATTTGAGCCAATAAATTTTTTAAAGAAATTATTTTGAAAATGAAAATAATAATATATAATTGTTTAGTTATTATTTATTGTATTAAAAAATAAACAAAAAAAAATGAAACTGCATACAATTAAACCCCATACCTCTCACATGCAAAATAACCCCTCCACCAAATGAGCTAAACTTCTTATTGTCAAACATTCTTATAGTTATTAGTTAATTTTTATTTCTTATTGACTGTGTTTAAAATTCAAAAGGAGAAATATAATCGAAGGGAATTGAACTTAGATATCTCACAAGGAGAGGCAAGCACTCTTCCAAATGATCTACACGTCATTTCAATAAACAACGTACAATACATGTGTTTTACGTAAATCTTAACTAATTTTTTTTGATAGATCAAGAACAAGCGACCGCACTAACTCGTCAAGTGCTGGATCCATCCCTAATTTTGAGATTTCCATCCATAGTTAAGAGTTATAAGCTTTTTTTTCAAAAATAAGATATAATTAAAATTCTAAATATTAATAATAATATTGTTAAAATTATTTTACATTATCCACCCCTCTCCCATCTAGGGGTACTTTTTAAAATAATCAAGTCAAAACACCAATTTTCCACATTGACCAACTTTTTTTTTTTTTTTTTTTTGCCATTCACCAAAAGGGCATTTTGAAGAGTAAATGTCATTTTTGTCCTTGTTATGTGTTGTAATTACAAAAACATATCATTTGCCCAAAAGACAATAATATCCTCTTTAAAAAATGAATAAATCCAAACAATCCCACTTAAATCTCAAAACGAAATCACTTTTTTATCAGATTTTTCAACACAGTTAAAAAGAAATTTCCTCTTCCATCTGCTTAAACATTGAAATCTCAAAAAATTATCAAAGGCTCAACAAAAAAGTATTACTCACAATCGGCACTTGAATTTGGTTAGTATAGATACATATGTTTAATTTCATTTTAATTAAATTAGTACATTATTTGAATATTTAAATTTTATTTCAACATATAATTTTAAAAAAAATGAATATTACAGTCTTGAATGAATGTAAAATTATTTTTTTAGCAAAAACGAGGAAAAAAATTCATCTGTACAGATGCAAACAGTCGGGAAAAAATTGATCCGGGCAGGATGTTTAACAGCCGGCCCAAATCGGGGCAGGCTGTTAGATGTCTTTTTTTGTCATATTTATTTTCGTACTTTTATTCTCGTAATTACAATTTTTTTAATAAATGATGTTTCGTAATGCAGATATGGGATCAGCTACTGTCCCGATTTGTTATTTTGGTGAATTTAAAAATAATGACAATAATCAGTGGGTGTGAAAATGGACGAGTGAAAGACATGGTTGTACTGCAATTGTAATAACATCGAGTACATCATATGCAGAAATGTACAATGAGATACAGAACTTGTTGAAAGTCGATCCCTCTGAGTATGCCATGGAATTGGGATTTCTAATGGGCGAGAATACATCCATTTCAATTTCACCTATAACGGTTACTTTCTGAAACTAAAATGAAGATTTTAATTGAAATGAACCAGAAACGTGCGATTCCTATTTGCGTAACTTTGATGAAGAAGAATATCCCGAAAGTGAACATGAAGATTTCGATGGAGGGGATTGTAATATGAATGAGTTTTGAAACACAGTGGAAATAGTGCGTGATGATGTTGTAGCTGTTTCAGAGACAATTGCTCATCACCATGATATCACTGTTACACACAGAATTTGCTCGGTAGTTCAAGACAACAAAAGAGATAATGACCTTACAAATGAGAATTTGATTGCTTTATCCCGTTTGAGACATGCGTCGAGTGGGAGCTCACAGGCTGGACCGAGTGCACGATCCTCTAATTGTTCACATATAGTCCCCGATGATGAAGATTTGTATGTCGAGCAACTGTTTGACACGAAGAAAGATTTGCAGGAAGTTATTCACCGGATTGCTTTGAAACACAATTTTGAGTTTAAAGTGAAGAAATCAAACAAGTCGACTTACACAATTATCTGCGTTGACGACAGTTGCCTTTGGCGATTACGAGCAACGAAAATGGACACGAATGAGTTCTTTGTAGTTCGTAAGTATGCACGGGAACATACTTGCGAAGTGGGTATTCGTCGAAATGATCACAGGCAAACCCGATCATGGTTCATTGGTCGAAAAGTAATGCACAAGTTTCAGGACCCACAAACAATCTATAGACTTTCGGACATTATTAATGACGTTCGTCGAGAGTATGAGATGGTCATGAGCTATCAGAAGGCTTGGAATGCCAAAGAATGTGCGTTGGAGAACTTGATGGGTTCGATCGAGGAGAATTATGCTAAATTGGCCAGGTATTAATTTCGATTGTTTATTTAATTATTTATCGAATCTTTATCTAATGTGTAATTAATTATTTAATTCAATTATTAATTTTTCAGTTTTTTAATATTGTTTATTTAATTATTTAAATTATGATTATTGTTTATTTAATTGGTCAAGTTTTGCTATAACATGGGAAGAATTAATACTGAATCGACATTTTTTATTGAGAATGATAACGAGAATCGCTTAAAGTATTTCTTTATAGCCCTTGGACAATGCGTTCGAGGATTTCGAAATGCAATGCGACCCTTAATTCAAGTGGACGACACAACTCTCAAGGCAAGATACGGGGACAAGTTGATTATTGCAACGTGTCAAGATGCTAACATCCAAATTTACCCTCTTGCATTCGGCATGGTTGACAGAGAAAATTATTTGGCAATGCGTTGGTT